TGTGCACCAGCACCTCACAGTGATGAGGTGGTCATTGCCAAAAGCAAAACTGATTCACTGATCACAGTTGAGCCAACATGAGTGGTCCACATGGAGGCTGGATAGTGGGACAGAGGTCTGCTGCGGTCATTGCTATCAGCTCACAACCTGTGGAGGCCAGACAGAGATGTGGCTGAATTAGGATGAAGTGTGATAACAGACATGCCGCTGTTGATACTGGAGCAAAAGGGATCCCCTCCATCAGGGAAAGAAGGAAAGACCTTGAGGAGCTGGCAAGTGAGGCACGTGGTCTAGTGCATGGCCTTGGAATTAAAAATTAGCTAAGTAGCAGGCATAGCTCGTAGTGATGGGAAGATTACTGATGATCTGGTTATGACTTGTAGGCTATTGGAGATAAGGATGGATTGGAGAGAGGAAGGAGTAAAGAAAACTTGGAATCACCGCAAGGATAACTAAGCTCAGTGGATATGACAGAAAGGGAGGTGGGTGTAGAAGGCTGTGGTCAAAAACAAACTTGAGGGATAGCTCATTTACAGGAAGTGCAATCAGTTACATGGGCTTAAAATAAAAGTCACTTGGGTTCAGGTCAAGAAATTACGAGGGCTGGCCAGGTAGCTCAGCAGACTAAAGCACCTGCTTCGGCAGAGTGCAGCAGCCAGGGTTCAGTCCCCGGCATGCCATGGTGGCGACTGAGACTAGGAGTGGTGGCGCACGCCTGTAATCCTAGCACTTGGGAGGCTGAAATGGAAGAATCACTGCAAGTTCATTCTACATAGTAAGACCCTGTAGACCCTGCCCTAAATTCATAGAAAGAAAGAAAGAAAGAAAGAAAGAAAGAAAGAAAGAAAATTCTAAGATGTGGATATGGTCATGGTGGCACACTCCACACTGAGCAGGCTGAGGCAGGAGAATCACTAAGTTTGAGGCCAGCTTGGGCTACATAGTGAATTCAAATCTAGCCTAAACTACATAGTGAAACTGTCAAAAAAAAAAAAAAAGAAATTAAGAGATGTGGGCCAAAATAGTTACCCTGCTGCTGAAACACCAAAGTTAATGCTGGGGAAAGGAATGGAAAAGACATGATGAGATTTGAATTCCTCATACAAAGTGAAGAGGCCTGGAGTCTAGGAAGGAGGGTGAGTCAGCAAGAAGGACAGAACAGATAGAAACTTTAGGAGAGGACTGTGCAGAGTAGGGGTGACCGCTGTGGAGGAGAGTGCAGGATGGGTGGGGTTCCTGTGCAGTGCCTGGGGGCAGGGGAGGGGGCTGCTGAAAGGGTTTCCAGGTAGAGTCCCACAGTGCCAGGAAGGACAAGACCCTGCGGAGGCCAGGGTCTGTGTGGACCCTGTGTCTAACACTCAACACCTCTGCTTCTAAGCAGCTTTCATAAGGGAAGAAACAGAGACTGTCACAACCTATACAGAAATGGTTAGTCTAGGGGCTGGCGAGATGGCTCAGTGGTCTAAAGCACCTACTTGGAACAAGCTTGGCAGAGCACAAGGACCACAGTTCAATCCCCCAGCACCACATGCCAGCCAGCCCCACCCCCTGGTGGGCTGAGCTGGCCACACACACACACACACACACACACACTAAATAAATAAATAAATGTTTTAAAAAAGAAATGGTTAGTCTAATAATCACGGGAAGGGAAATTAAAATGTATTAACCATGTTCCCGGAGTGCGGAGGAGCTGAGCAAAGCCACAGCAGGGATGAGATGGACCAGGAGAAAGTAGAGAATGATGAGACAGTGGCCTAGGCTGTAAAAGCCAGAGACCAGACAACAGTAGGGGTGGAGCACTGAGGAACAGATGGCTCTGGCACCTTGCAGTCAAAGAGGCCAGCACTTAGCGAGAAAGGGGCAGTGAAGACTGCTGTCCAGAGTTGCGCTGACAGCTCTGTGGGGCAAGCGTGGGAAGGTGCCCAAGGGACAGAAGGTGGGAGACAGTAGGACAAAAGGAAGGGAGATGTGGGGTGGTACTGAGTCCGCTACAGGATGTCTTCTAGGACAGGCAACCTGCAGGGGTGGGCACTTTTCCCTGCAGCACAGTGAGCTGGGCAGGGCATGCAGAGGTTGGGGCACAAGGGAGACTGCCCATGGGGGACCCAAGGACAGGTGTGCCATTGTAAGCTGGGAACAGCAGAGCCTGATATGAGCAGCGTGGACACCATGACAGAAACAGAATGTCCTTGGAACCAGCACACAGGGAACCTTGTTCCTTCCAACATTTCATACAACTGTTGGGAAACAAAAGAGCTCTCCTTCCCCTCGCTATTACGATGAATGCAAATAACTAGGGCTCTTCAGAGGGACTTGGCTGTCTCTGCCCACACTTCAGGCACACAGGCCTTTGGCTTCCTCCTTCCCTCACAGGAATGTGTCATCCAGCAAGTGTGGCACTGGCCACCAGGACAGCCTGCACAGGGAAGACGTTCCATAGCTGTGCTGCTCCTATGGAAGGCCCTGGACTTCTCATGGCTCTTGAATTGTGGTTGATGTGACTGAGAAACTCAGTTCTGCATTTTACTGGAATTCATTTAAACTTAGATAGCCACATATGGCCAGTGGCTGCCGTGCTGGACAGTGCAGCTCTAGATGTCCTTTCCTGTGTGTTTGCCCCCCATGCAGAAGAAGCCACAAAGGCACTGCACAACCGGAAAAGTCAGGGCCCTCAAGGCCAGCATCAGGGACTAGTGAGGGAAGGTACAGTGCAGCCACAGGAAACGCCAGCCCGGAGACAAGGCAGGGTGTGCCAAGCGTGGCAGCTGCCTCGTAGAAGGGGAAACAACATGTATACATGCTTGTACATGCACTGGATATCTGGAGAGACACCGTCCATGATGGTAGGATCCAGAGACAGAAATCAAGTGACCGTGGAACAGGCGGGAAGCAGACATGCTGGGGGAGGTCCTTGCTGTTTTGCCCAAAGTGGGGTTAAACTCCTGACCTGCCTAACTCAATCTCCCATGTAGCCAGGATTTCAATTTTACAATTTCAAGCGTACCAATATGTCCAGTAAGAACTTAAATTATGCCAGACATGGTGGTGCATACCTGTAACCCAGCACTCGGAAGTCTAAGGCAGGAGGATTGCCATGAGTTTGATGCCAGTCTGGATTACACGTGAGACACGCATGCACACACACACACACACACACACACACACACACACACACAAAGAAATAACGCTTTACCTTTTTCATCATTTAAAAGTGGGCATCGTGTTCATGTTTTCACTCATTCAAATTTCTGAACCAGTTAAAATATTAGAAATCCAGAACTCTTAAAGTATAGAAGCTGCAGTGAGGCATTATGTAAATTATCTGCTTAAGTGTGCATACAGCATTTTCTTAATGTATATTTTGACACAGGCAGAGCCTGTAACACTCCCTGTCCCCACAGATAGTCTGGTAAAGACTTCAGATTTGACCCTGAAATTTGTTCTTGTAATTCACCCGGCTTCTCCCCTTTGCAAGCTGAGGGTCAAATCACATTATGCACTTGCTCTCAAATTAGTTTAGCATGCCTGGCCAGAAAACTTGGCCTTGGCCTTGGTGTTGCTATTGCTCAGCTGGAAGGAGGAGCAGACTGAGCTGGGGGCTGGTTTCCATAGTGCTGTGTGGCGGCTTAGCCATCTGGGATTTGTGTAATCCCCTTGAAGGGAAAGGAAAGGTCACCCGAGGGCCAGTGTGGGGTCACGGGGAAACACCTGCTGTCCAGGCTCCGTGTGAGCCCACGCCCCCACCCCCCGCCCCACCAGGCTTCAGGTTCCCCACAGGGTGATGGGGGCAGGGAACAGCGTGGAGCGCTAGCATTCAGTTCACCTGGCCCGTGGAGGAACACCCCGATGATGAATGAGATCAAACTGGGACAGACCCCCAGGGGTGCTGCGGGAGCCACAGTGATGTCCCTAGAGATCCAGCACATTCTCCCCTGGCTCTTGGCCAGTCCCTCCCCCATTGGTCATCTATTCCTTCCAGCCACTGGACTAGGAAAAGAGGTCATTGGCGTCACAGAGACTGGGTCTGAGTCCCAGGCCTCTGTGTGACCC